GAGATGATTGACACATTCGTCTTCGGTCCATCTCGTTGGTCGTACGTCGATCGGTTTCCAATACGCTCCCTAATTCCTACATATCTGTGCAGGACGTTGTCACTCATATTTGACATGTTTCTCAGAACGTATCCTGCGACATTTGCACGCACGATGTGCACGTGATCACCCGCTGACACATATGCGTAATCGCAGTTTGCACGCACTGTCGGTGAGATGGATTATCTGTTAGCTAGTTTTATTACTATAATTAAAAATCCCACTTTTTTTCTTTAGCAATTAATTTTAAATAAATTTATTAACAACGATTATTTATGTAACACGTGTGAAAGCGCGCGTGTCCACCGGTATTTTGTGAGAAATCCGTATTTCTCCGTCGGTTTCTTTTGCACCCGTCTGACCACGTAGCGCTATTACTACTGCTCCGGGCGGGCGCGTGCGATCTCTTTTTTGCGTTTTTTTGGTTTCACCATAACTACACGTGCGCATTTCCCGGACGTTGTAATGCCGTCGGCCAGGTGCCGATGTACGATACTCCACTCTTGTAATATTCATTTCCTAACGGTAAAAGCCCTCTCAGCGACTCTTTCAAGCTCGGATATCGGAAAAAACGAGGCATTTCCGTTGGTAAATGTCACGGAGGTTGGTAGATGGGCAGTGCCCACATATTACCAATCAATTTGCCTCTGTCGATACAGAGGTGGAGAGCTAGCCAGGAGAAAATATCAGGCTAACTGCACGGGCGAGCGGACACGGCGGAGCGAAAGAGAGAGTGACGGAGAAAAGCGGATAGAGGAATATATATAGGCTATACGCTTATGTGCGCGAATACAGAGATGGCCCCTCCATCATATTTAACTGAGATAGCCAATCACCCCTGTCACTCAGCGGGTGATAGATTATTTTAATCAAGTTATTTCACCCGAAACCCGATCATTCTCGCCGATAGATGCTCGAGGACGTGTGTAGGTATATACGCGCGAATGTATACATAAAAATCAGATTAACCGTTTCGGAGAGAAGGGAGTTACCGGCGCTCTAATTCGAAAACAATCGACGGGTGTCTGTGCCTTTTCACGAAATAGCATTCGAGCCGGTTAAATATAAATTATCGATCGTCAGGCCGCCGTCTTGTAAATCTGTTCCACGTGTCAATCGCTTTACGCTAGCCCTGTCGTTTTGTTTTTTTTTTTTTGTAAAAAAACAGCGCTTTCAGCTGTTTTATTAGAGTGCATCCTGGGAACAGCGATATATAGAGAGTATGGTGCGAAGTGCTGAATTATTGTTGGGAGATCTTGCGTCGCTTGGAAAGTTTTATCTCGAATTGCCTCACGCCCGAGTGATTTTTTCAATAATTCGCGAACGTCAGCTAAGTGTAAATCGCTAATCTCTATGTAGTTTGCTTCTTTCCTTTTTCCCTCCACGTCTCTTCGATAATGTATTTTTTAACTCCTCTGATGACGAATTGATCGACGGTCGGCTACGTGAGTTTCTAAGTTCTTATCGAGTTTCCAGGGACTTTCGATATCTCCAACTTCATTCGTACGAATCTCTTTTTCTGCTTTCATAAAATATTGCTTCGCTGTTAATATGATATTCCTTGTTAAGCTTTTCTTCGACCGTAGAGAGTAAGTCAATTAAAAATGACTAAAAATCGCAAAGGTATATTTTAAAATTTAGCTGTACACGGCGCAAATTGATTTCAACGATAAACTTATAAATATTTTATTTTATTTTATTTTTAGTTTATTGATCAATGTGATAAGAAATTTATACAACATGGAGCATCCCATAAATATTTCAGTGGATCCAGTTATTTATTATTTCGAACGTTCGGAAAAACTTACACGAAGAGATTATTATAAATTACCATATCTATGGAGAATAACACGCAGAGACCAATGACATTCGAGAAGCTTATCATTAATCATTAATCTTTTTCAATTTTCAACGTTGTTGAATAGCGTGATAATAAAACAGATCTGACAGAATATTTTGATCTCGCAGATTTTATCGCGACGGTCGAGATATATCCAGAACAATAATTTGATCCCGCCTGGAGGTCGATCTCGGATCTGGCGATGGCGATTCGTGGGTCGTTTTCCTGGTTAAACATCCTCGCTCCCCCTATCTTCTCTTGCAAGATGTGCGAGCTTCTTTTCGGGTAAACCCCGCTTTGTGGAGAAGTCCGCGCAGTTTACAGGAAATACGAGTGCTTGGTCGACGGTGGGTCGAGCTTTAATCCGCTTTTATTTCCCAGAATCGTTCCCCTGCGGTGCGATCTTTATGACAAGATCGTACCACACGTAAGAACATTAAATGTGTTGTGATAGTTCGCGGAAAAAAGACATCAGCGTAAAGAATTCCTCGCGAGCGATACGGTTTTCTTCTCCCCGTGCTAAGATTCCGAGGTACACAGATTCTATTCGTTGTTACTAACTTGAATTATGCAGAAAAGCGGAAATTTTATACCGAAGGCAAGCACGGGGAAAAATAAAGGGAGAGACTGAGCTATCGTTTACCTAATGATCTTAAATGATTTTTCTGGAACGGTCCTCGTCCTCTCTGCCGGATCGCTTTTCATCAGCATGCCGATACGTCGCGTTGCAAATGTTTCTCGACTTCTTGACTAGAATGGAAATAAAAAAAAAGAAGAAAACAGCTTGTCATTCTTGAAATTGAAAATACAGCGCGCCAACACGACGAATTCCGCTATGAAGAATTGAACAAGGTCGAACGTGACATCGCTGGCTGTTAAAATAGTCGCAATCGTAAACGGGGCCGTATCGACAGGCTGCTTACAATGAACGAGCTTGTTGTCGCGATATGGAAATCGGTTTGCTAGGAGAAACGACCCCCCCCCCTCTCCCTCTCTCCTTCTCTCTCTCTATCTCTCTCTCTCTCTCTCTCTCTCTCTCTCTACTCTCTCTCTACTCGTCGTACTCACCTCTACTACTCTCGTCGTACGTACGTTACGTACGTTACGTTACTTCGTCTCTTCTACTCGACTACGTACGTACGTCGTACGTACGTCGTACGTACGTACGTTCGTACGTACGTACGTACCGTCGTCGTCGTCCGTACGTACGTCGTACGTACGTACGTACGTAACGTTACGACCGTACTACGTAACCGTTACCGTTACCACGTACGTACGTACGTACGTACGTCGTACGTACGTTACCTACGTACGTACGTACGTTACCGTCCGTACGTACTACGTAGTAACGGTAACGTACGTACGTACGTACGTGTACGTTACGTTACGTCGGTACGTAGTACGTAGTACGTAACGTACGTACGTACGTAGTACGTACGACGACGTACGTACGTACGTACGTACGTACGTACGACACGTACGTACGTACGTACGTACGTACGTACGTACGTACGTACGTACGACGTACGTACGTACGTACGTACGTACGTACGTACGTACGTACGTACCGTAACGTAACGTACGTACGTAACGTAACGTACGTACGTAACGTACGTACGTACGTACGTACGACGACGTACGACGTACGACGACGTACGTACGTACGACGTACGTAACGTACGTACGTAACGTAACGTACGTACGTAACGTACGTACGTACGTACGTACGTAACGTACGTACGTACGTAACGTAACGTACGTACGTACGTACGTACGTACGACGACGTACGTAGTACGTACGACGTACGACGTACGAACGACGTACGACGACGAGACGAGACGTAGTACGAGAGAGAGAGACGACGAGAGAGAGAGAGAGTAGTACGTACGACGTAGACGACGACGTACGTACGTACGTACGTACGTACGTACGTACGTACGTACGTACGTACGTACGTACGTACGTACGTACTACTCTCTCTCTCTCTCTCTCTCTCTCTCTCTCTCTCTCTCTCTCTCTCTCTCTCTCTCTCTCTCTCTCGTCCGTTCGCGCTCTTTCGCGATAATCCGATCTCTCTAAGGAGATTCTCCATTTTTACAACTTCGTTTGAGTTCGCGGCGGACTCCGTTGCCGACGGGCATTCGAAATATTCGCGGAATCTCGTATTTACCCTCACGGCCCATGGAAAACCGGGCGGAAAAGACGCTCGACGACAGGGAAGGAAAATGAAAGGTAGGAAAGGACTCCTCGTCGCTCCTACATCGAGCAACCATGGGTGACCACTCTGCAGCGAATCACATTCCGATTATTTAAAAGCACAGAAATGGACGGTGATTTTTCATTGTCTCAATTTATCCAAACGTACGAAAACACGAAAAACATTGAATATGGAAAGTATTTCGATATGGAGATTATATTATACGTTGCATTGAGATTGCATTACACAATAGCATTATACGATACGAGAAAACGTAACGTTTTCTTTCTCCTCGTTGAATTTTTCCAGATATCAATTTACGATATTTAAAAAATGAAATATCCTGTATAAACATTCCCCGTATAAACATTCGATATAAGATTCAGACTACACCCGCATATAATCCATAGATAAATACAGACCGTTGCAATGAGTTTACGGGCGCGGATCTTCACGTAATAGAGCAAGGAGTTACCTGCTCTCGGTGATATAATATTACATGTATTTTCTTCTCTCGATTCGACGAGGGAGAAACACTGGCTTTTCAGCTTGCGCAATCGCCGCGTTTTTCGCGGGAAAACGAGAAAATAATCCTGCGGGATTCGACATTTTCCGCGATCCGCGAGAGAAATAGAGAAACGGTAGTTACAATTGTTTCATTACGTTTCTCTACGGCTAGAAATTGTTGGAGGAACGGTAACCCTAACGCGTACAAGCCCGCTGGTGGCTCGCCGGCGATCCGGCTGAAAAATATCACAGCCACATTCGCTTCGGATTGTTTTGCGTTTCCGGCGCGGACGTCGGCGGTTTCTGGTCCTCAGATTAAAATCTGGAAACTTTCCGACCGGGCGAGTATATCATCCCATCGCCCACAGGCGACTGGAAGCAAACTTCCCCCTTTCTATATCCATCCTCTGTTCTAGGCTGTACTTTCCCGGAGGAGTGGTACGGTCGGTGGTTCCAGTCGGGGATTACGGACCTGGTGACCGTCAACGGCTCCGAAATCACCAGCAAGGGCTTCTGCATCGAGAAAAACGGCGACAAGTTCCTCGTTCACGACACGTGAGTGCCATTCTCGTTTGAATTGCAAGTGGAGCCCGGCCGGCCGGCCGATATGAAACGATAGTATAGTATTCCATCCTTTTATACCTACCGTTTATACCCGTTCTCGTCTCCCCATCGTTTCCCCAGCCTCGCCCCCGCCATCCCCCTCGGACCAACGCCCGGCGCGCCCCGTCGCTCCCGTGCGCGCACTCCCCTCTCTCCCTTCCGTACTCCCTTCTTTCCAGCTTTTATTAATTAACTGCCCTCCGACAAAGCGCTCGAGGCGACGTGCCAGCCGAGAGAGCACCCGGCGTATAAAACGTTTCTCCTGAAATTCCATCCGTGAAACCGGAGCAGGGGTGGCTTTGAGATCGAAGAGAACGGGCGATCTGTACCGAGCAGCGCGCGTACTCGTATATCGATATATGTTACCTTTAACCCCCTCCCCTTCCCCCCCCCCGTCGGTCGCCGCGCCATGTTCGCGCGTGTAGTGGTAAGATTTACGACGAATGCGTAGCCGGCGAAGAGAGATCGGCGACCTACGAGCGAGCGTATGACTAAATAAGTTAAATAGAAACCGCTCGCGAGCAACCCCGAGGCGAACGGGCAAGCCGGGCCGGAAGAGGGAAACTCCATCTCATGAGACCAGTGCGTGAAAAAAGCACTCGCTTTTCAGTTAGTTATAAAAGCCATGTGTAAGTTATAATTATGATCGCTATACGGCGCCCAACTATTGCGTGTGACAATTACTACCGTGGCTTTTCTCTGAAATTCCGAACAGCTTTTTTGCGAAAAGTAGGTTGTAAGTGGATATTTTATGTCCAATTAATTACGAGAGATACATTTTATATACTGGATACGTGGAATAATGAACTAGAGATATAATAATTCAGAATTTCTGCTTGATTTAAAAAGTGATTTATTTGTATTAAATTAATGAAATTTTTATTACGTTGAAAAAAAAAATAAAAAAAATATATATATATATATATATATATATATATATTCCTACCTTTGTATTATTTTGTTTTAGTAAAATTAATAGAAAAAGGTTATTCTAACGTTTTACGAAAGTATTTGTCAATATATATGTAACGAGATTATAGTATACGCCGTTGTTTCCCGCCAAACCCCCGACACCAGTGGGGGGAAATAATTGAAACGACGAGTTTTCGTGGTCCGATCACGTTATAGAAAAGAACACATTTCTCGCTGGCTCGATCACGTCCTTCCTCCCGTAACTAGAATTTTCCCTATATTTCCATTTCCAACACGGTTCCCGCAAAATCCGCACGTCGCACGTCGGTCCACATGTTATATTTCGGCGAAATAGACCGCGCGCCGTCCGTCTGTATACTTTCGCGCGGGTAGTTTCTAGTCAAACACGATCTTTTATCCGCGATAGAATTACGAAAAAACGATATCGCGACTGATATAGGAAAGTTCCACCGCCGCGAAATAATTCCCTCTGACTGAGAAGTACCTCGGATCTACTCCGCTCGTCGCTCGAAGCGAGAGTTGCTTTGTTGCAGCCCTCGACACGGGGTAGGCGGGGTGAGGGGGAAGGAGGACCCAATTTATTTTGTTTGATCGACACTCTTTCCAATTTTGCCACCGCGGCGAGAGGGTCGTCTCTTCTCGCCCCCCCTCGTCCGCCCCGTCGTATATCCTCGTCGAAGACGTTAAACCGCGGTCCACTTCGTCTGGATAATATTCGCGATATATACGATGTATTAATGCGCGGCGCGGAGTGTTCATAGTTCAGAATTAAATTTTTAGCTGAGCTAAGTCAGGATAATTCTCCGACTAATCCGAAAGGTACGTGGTCTTGTTTTATGGATCTTATTATCATTGGCCATCCTGTAGATTGGATATCGTATAGTCACGCGGGCACTCGGACCGATCGTTCGGCTTGATTAACGCACAGCCATAATCGTAACATTAGTGGGCCAGGGAAGTTGTTTTTCGCGGTCGTTATTGATCCCCCCCCCCCCCCGGGAGAGAATGAATGTACGAGCGAGGAAAAATAGACGGCGGGGACTAGCCGCGATAGAATCGCGAGAACAATCTATTCCCCTCGTCGATATAGCGTGTATAATTGTACATTCAATAAATACCATTATCCGCGGTGCAACGTTATTTATTCGCCATTCGTTCTGTCTTTTTTTTTCTTCTTTTTTTCTTTTTTTCTTTTTTTCTTCCGCGACACTCCCCGACGCGACACTCGAAAATGAGTCGAGTAGGAATTTCGCCGAATGGGCAAAGCGGTTTTGCCAACGGCATACAAATCTTTTGTGTCTAACCGGCAGAATAATTTTGGGAATTCGCGGCCTTTGTTGTGAAATATCCTGATTACAAGTATAAACGATTGTGCTGATTGTGCAGATAACTGTTAATACACAATTTATAACTCGATAATACGAAACAAATAAATTTGTTTTAATATATTCTTTATTTAAAATTTTTGGAATTTAATATTTAAGTACCCTAAATGAACATTTGGTTGAAAATTTGAAATGTCTTCTCGAAAATGAAACTCTATGGGACATGAGGACATAAAGTAGATGTTAAATTGAGAATAATTCTCTTTGGTATCTATTTGAGAGTACAATCCTTTGGGAATGACTTCTGAAAGCAAAACTAGGGCAGTAAATAGTAAACAAACACTAAACAAATCTTAATAGCAGCATTTTTATTTATATCAGACTCTCTTTCCTCTCATACAATATTTTACAAATCGCATACCTTTCTTTATCGTATTTAATTTTCCTTTTAAAATATTTAAAAAATTACAGAAAGAGAGATAACGCATCTATCTATACTGTTAATTAATTTCTTTACTTTTTAGACAAAAATAATGTTCTTTAAAGAAATAATTTTTAATTACTGATTTCGTAGAAACAAAATTAATGAAGAAATATTACAAAGTCTATTTGAACAACGATAATAGAAGAATCGAATTTTATTAAGTAATACTACTGACAGAACAAGTTCATCGTATATTTACGTTGTCGGAGGCAACCATGAATTTCTTAAGAAACGCGATATACAAGTGCAGTATCATATGTAAATAGGTAGATAAATGCCAACCAAGACAAAGTGATCGAGAGACGCGCGCAGAGTGAGAGAAAGAAAATGCGAATGGCGCGGCAGATGACGTAGAAGCCGAGCGAAGTTGAGAGAGCTAAGTTTTAATTAATGTAATGGAGAGTAGCACGTGATTAGCTTCCCAATCAGTACGCTCCTCCTGCCATTCTGCTGCGGCTTCAGTTGAAGAAGGATAAAAGAGACGAAAGAGACGAAGATAAAATTTTGTAATAAGAGGATACGAGGGAAAACAAAGAGATCAGGAATGAAAACGAGTCGGTCGAGATAAATGCAAAAAGTTTAAATAAGTTGTCTAATAGGTATTATCGAAATTTTATAAAAAAAATTACACTTTATTCTCTCTCTCTTTCTTTTTTTTTTTTTTTACTATATATTTTTGTCATATATATATATTAGTACCGAATATTGAAGGAAAAGCTTCAATATTGAATTCGATATTAACAACAAATACGCGAACAAAACAGATATGCGATTTATAAAAAGATATGAATTTTTATATTTTACGCCCGAATAATAACAAAACACTATTTATTCAGTGCAGATCACGAAGCGCCAATTTGCGCGAACGCGAGCGCTAAATTGTTTGCTTAATGCGCATCTAATTATGCTGTTCTGCATTCTGCATTAATGGATAATAGGTATGGGTGGGCTAGCGTCACAGTTTGTTTGTGTTGGTAACGTGGATGTTACCAAACTAGCAATAACTTGCTTATCTTAAGATAACTAATCTGGCGCTACGGCGTAATCCCCGAACGTCTAGCCGGAAATAATCACGAGGAACGTATACGCTCGCGAGCAACAAAAGAAATCTGTTTGTTTGTTTATCCATTAAAATGTAATTGTGACGATACGGTTGTTGTATATATATATTCGATCAATCATCGATGCTTCATAATGAACAATCGTTGCCCCGGCAAACATTTTACAACGCGAACTCCAATATATACACGGCATGTCAATTAATTGATTTACGGGTAGCGATATTTATGAAGCGTGATACTATCCTACGCTTTTTCCGTTAATTCTTTTGTTCGATTCGACCGATCGTGTTATTTCTCACCGTGACAGGTATCGTCGTGATATTCGTCGACCCGATAATAGTTTCGATCGGGAACAGACTGCACGATACATTGCGCCCGACCGTCAATTAACGGTAACCGATAATCCAAAATAATGACAAGCGATTGCAGTTTGCGCCCCGCGATAACTGTTTGTCGATTTAAAAAAGCGTAGAGGGCCTGCAGTTTAATTTTGTACTGCAGACAACTACAATTAAGCTCATCTTGCGACATCGATCGTTGTTGCGCGCTAAGCACGGGCAGGAAATACAGATTGGTACAGAATTATTTATTTATTCATAATTAAACGACTATTATATACATAATAATTGCGCACGTACATTAACGAATACACAGGGAAATAAAAAAAAAAAAAAAAAGAAAACAATTGTGAGAAAAGTGTATTTTGGAGGAGAGCAAACGGAGAAGTCGAGACGTTTTTAAGGAAGATAAATTGCGTTAGTTCTGCTTGTGATGTGAATGATGTTGAATTATATCGAAGTTAGCCAGTTATTGAAGTACTTAAAAAGTAATTTCTGAGAAAAACAAACATCGAAACGTATAATAACTGACTCATTATGTCGCACCTCATGCGGATCTACGCAACTCCAAAGCGTCGATTAGTCGAAGACATATTTCGTGCTCCGGCGAAGTTATTGCGAAACTATTAGTATACTCGCGAGGTAGCTCGGCGATTACATGATTAATTCCCCCCCCCCCTCGTACGACGCTGGATACGAAATGGGTACACTCGTTAGTATTATCGCCTGCGATAATAAAATTAGTAGTCGCGGACGCCGTCATTAATCCTCCTTAAGCGATAAAGTAGCCGGCACGTTGTAATAATGGAGT